TTGCCTCAACTGATCAACAGCTTTTCCATTAAAAAGAGCTTGGAGCACTAGAACTGACCAATGCTACCTACCCCCTTCCCCTCAAGCACCAGCTTTTTCAATAGGAACAAACTCGAAAATAGTTAGATGTATGTGATATGTGAAAGTGAAAAGGTGTCTGTCAGATGCTTCAGATGTATGATTATGTCTTTTGAAATGATTATTTTTGGTTTTGTTTAAAATGAAAATATCATTTATTGGATTTTAGTAAAAAACAGCAATCAAATTAAGGACCTTCTGTTCATCATTAATAACTGGTTTATAAGTTTAGTATTATCCAATACAAAACAATGGAGTAATTTGGGCCCAATTTTATTCATCTTGTTCACCAATGACTTGAGTCCTTTGGTGCCCAATTTCAATGGGGTGAAATTGTGAAATATGCTGATGGCACAAACTTGATTATAGGCAGTAAAAATTAAGATCAATTAGTTAGAAACTTTGAGGAATCTATGAATGCAATAATCAATAAATTAGTAGTTTCTGGGAAATAGGCTCATGTAGTTAGAAACTGTGAGGAATCTATGAATGCAATAAATGGGTGGTTTCTTGGAAATAGGCTCATTCTCAACAAAGAAAAAGCAAACATGATCTGTTTCAGAACCAAACTTTCCATAGCAGAGAGGCTCACAGACATTAACATGACAATAACGGTTTTAGAACATACAAAATTTTTGGGGGTCCATATAAACAAGTTTATGGATTGGGCACAACACATACAGATGCTGTTGTGTGTCCCACTTACTATGCTCACAATGGGTATCATTTTAACTGTGAGAGATACGAGGTCGGTTGGATGACACCAAATGTGGAGTTTGTCAAGGCCAACTATAATGTGAAAAAATATTTTGATAAAATCTATTCGTTTTCGTTTTATATGCAAAAAACAGATTTTGATCATTTTCATGTCTCCTCCGTAACTTCTTTATTTATGAAAATATTCAAATAGGAATTTCATATTCTCATGGCAGTTTTTCAAAGTGATTTCGAAAAAAATATGAAATTTATACCAACTCTTCTAGAATTTGAGATATCAGCACCAACTTTAATTTTTCAAATGTGGGTCATAGCTCACTATGACTTAGTTACAAATAACTTTTTTTGCTCTAGGATGATATGTCGCAGTAATAGTTTTGTGCTGATAACAACGGAGTTATCGTCATTTATACAAAAACAAAAAATTATTTGGAAGCCGCCATCTTGAATTTATGAATTTTAACAAGAACATCATGATCTCCGACCTTGAAAACCCCCACTTACCAATTTTGAATGGAATCGGATCAAATCTTTTCCGCCATCTTGGAGCAGCCATTTTTTTTAATTTCAACAAAAATTCCATAACTCCGATAAACTTGAAATTTGGCAGGTGTTCATAATTTCGGTGACAAAACATTATGAAATTTTTGTTGAAATAAAAAAAATGGCTGCTCCAAGATGGCGGAGAAGATTTGGTCCGATTCCATTCAAAATTGGTAAGTGGGGGTTTTTGAGGTCGGAGATAATGATTTTTTTGTTAAAATTCATAAATTCAAGATGGCGGCTCTCAAATAATTTTTTGTTTTTGTATAAATGACGATAACTCAGTTGTTATCAACACAAAACTATTACTGCCATATATCATCTGTAAGAGAGAAAAAAGTTATCTGTAACCAAGTCATAGTGAGCTATGACCTACATTTGAAAAACTAAAGTTGGTGCTGATATCTCCAATTCTAGAAGAGTTGGTATAAATTTCATATTTTTTTTTAAATCACTTTGAAAAACTGTCATGAGAATGTGAAATTTCTATTTGAATATTTTCATAAATAAAGAAGTTACGGAGGAGACATGAAAATGACCAAAATATGTTTTTTGCCTATAAAACGAATAGATTTTATCAAAATATTTTTTTACATTATAGTTGGCCTTGACAAACTCCACATTTGGTGTCATTTTACCGACTATGTATCTCTCACCGTTAAAAAGATGCCCATGGTGAGCATTGTAAGTGGGACACACTGTATGTAGATATATGAATGAAAGCACTATTAAAACAGTCTACTATGCAAATTATGAAACTGTGATGAGATTTGGGATCATCTTCTGGGGAAGTGATAGTTCCATTCAAAATGTTTTTGTATGCCAAAAAACAATACTTCATATTATAAAAGAGATGAACTACAACCAAAGTTGTAGAACAGTTTTTCAATCTGAAAAAACAATGACAGTATTTGCCTTGTACATACATATATGAATGTTTGATGTTCTATTTCAAGAATAAAGAAGGATTTCACTCTGTTAACCAAATTGCACACAACATGAGAACAATGAATGTGAAATATCCTGTACATTGGTTAACTTCAACAGAAAAATGCCCTCAATTCACATGTGTAAAATTCTTCAATGCCTTACCCAACTGAATGAAGGCTATAAAATGTGAAAAAATCTTCAAGTCTGAAATCAAAAAAACAAAACTAATTCAACTGGAACCTTATAAGCTTTTGGACTTTTGTATATTATGATTTCTACTAGATTTTTTATTGTTGTAATTTCATTTGTCTAATTTACCTGAACCACATTGTTTCTGTATATCTTACAATATGAAATAAATATTATTATTATTATCATTATTGAGCATTTTTTCCAAAATTTTTGAAAAGATTCTTAAAAAATGCATTGTAGATTTCATAAATAGAAAATATAGCTTTGACATAAATCAATTTGGTTTTCAAGAAAATAGTGGCACACAAGCGGCAATATTACAAGTAATACAAGCAATACAAAAAGGACTTGATACCGGAAATTATGTGATAGCAATTTTTGTTGATCTCAAGAAAGCTTTCCATACAGTAGACCACATGAAAATTTAGAATCAATGGGACTCAGAGGCATGATAAGGAACCTTTTATATTCGTATCTTCAAAATAGGACAATCAGTACGAAATCTACCAACTCAGAGTCTCATAGACTACCGATGACTAAAGGTGTCCCTCAAGGATCTGTTTTAGGACCAATTTAATATTTATTATATATTCAAAATATCAGGAATGTAAATTGATACAGAATGTAATTCCACTATTCATGCAGACGATATGGTACTTTTATATGGAAATAAAAATCCTATCATTTTAAAAAATATAATAAACAGAGACTTGATGAAATTTGAAAAATGGCTGCATTCAAACCTCTTATCAAAAAATACTGATAAAACTGAATATATGATTTTTCACCAAAAAAATAAACAAAATGTAAATTTAAATCTCACAATTAAAAATGAATCTTTGAAAAAAACTAATGAGAAGGAGTATCTTGGGATTTGGTTTGATGATAAATTAAAGTGGGACAAACATATAAATGTTTTGACAAAAAAAATATCTCCTATCATTGGAGCCCTGAGAAGATGTCCCAAGCTGAATAAAAAAGTTGCAAATATAATTCTATATTCTCATATACTCAGTCCTATTAACTATTTGATAAATGTTTGGGGATACTGTTCAAAAAACAATTTTAATAAAATATCTGCATTATATAAAAAGACATTGATAGTACTGTATCCTTTACCATATGATACACCAACAAATCAATTATATAAAATAACTGAATCATTCTCATTAGAAGAAATGTTCAAAATCGAAAGACTGAAAATTACATACAATATCATAAATAAAAGATTGAAATCTAATTTTATTTCAACAGGAAACAATGAAATTCATAATTATCAAACTAGACAACATGGTTTATTTCATCTTGATATCGCTAATACTTCTATAGGCCAAAAAAGATTCACCCACACTGCTCTCTTGGAATATAACAAATTACCAGATAATATAAAAAATTGCAGATATACAATAAAATTCAAATACCATCTTGAAAAATTTATCATTTCTGAACGAAATAGATGACTTCTTTTTTTCTCTCAACTTTTGATTCATATTCGAATTGATTTTTGCTCACCAATATGAAATGATTTGTCAAAATTCAATACTTAATGTTTTCGAATATTATAATTGTATAGTTTTAGGTATTATTGTTAACTATACTTCCTTATACCAAAACTTGATTCTGACTGGAAGTAACATTTTCAATAAATAAATAAATAAATAAATAAATAAATTATTATAATTATTATGAGTGAATGTATCTCTATAAGATACCTAGATGTTCCCAAAAAGGGAATACAATATAGAATGTATCTGCATGGACCAGAAGGACTACCTTAAAGTACAACAACAACACACTATCTTCTATAGAATTTTTGATTGGAATTCTTTTTCTTTTCATCATAATATCGACTTCAGCCTCATCATCCAAATTTTCATAACTTGAACGTATTCAATTCAAAACTACTTACTGGCTCCTACAATCTGGTTTTCAATTGAAAATGTGTTCTTGAGTTAAGCTCATCTAATTACCTTGGCCACCAGGAATCATCACATTTGGAAATTATCAAAAATTAATCATCTCAAAATGGTGAAAGTCCACTCATAGAGTGATTGTTCTTATTTAGTTGATAAATTGTACACATTTTTAGCTTTGTTATTTTCAAGTCAGGTTGTTAGAACTAGATGTTATGGAAAACCAATATTCTCAGTATGATTGATGTAGAATATAAAGTACTACTTCAAACAATAATTCATTTATACACAACATTTAATTGGGGTAAAACCTGTTTGTTGAAATAGCTAAATAAAATCAATATATGAGCAAAAATATAATAAAAGCATTCAGACTTCAGATCAATTTTTTGATTGAAATAAAACTACTACTAACTGTAAACACCCAGGAAGTGAATCCCAAAAATCTAGAGATTTGTTCCAGAATACCTTTCATAAACCATCAATTGATTCAGAATATCAATGTACAGGAACATTAAAATGAATTAATTAATGCATCTCACAAAAAAGTGCAACAGGAAATTATGATTTTCAGTTAATATTTTTCAGGAACAAAATATAAAAAAACAATCAAGAAATGAAACTGACCTTCTTTTGTACTCTCAACGCCTTGGCAACAGGTGCAGCCACAGCTGGTTTCTTACCAACACCCTTTTGTTGTTTAACAGCCACATTTCGCTTTGGTTTGGTAACCAGAGCTTTAGGAGGGGCCTTGGCTTTTCCAGCAGGAGCTTTGGCAGTTGCTGGTTTCTTGGCTGCAGCCTTACCTGCTGTTTTTGCTGCAGGTTTGGTAGCAGTCTTACTTGCTGCGCCCTTTGTGGCAGTTTTTGAAGCAGTGGCTTTTGTTTTAGGAGCAGCAGCTGCAGCTTTGCTAGGGGCTGCTTTAGCTGCTGCAGTGGGCTTGGTTGCAGGAGTTTTTCCTGCAGAGGGTTTCTTTTCAGCTTTGCTGGTAGATGCTGCTTTGGCAGCAGCTTTAGGAGCAGGAGCAGGAGTTTTAGAGCTAGAGGTGGATGCCGCAGCACCACCAGCCGGTGCAGATGCTGGCTTTTTCTTCTCTTCCTTCTTGGCAGCTAAAAAAAGGACCCAAATAGGTACACCCAGCCAATGAAGTATTTTTCCTAATTATGGAGGACAAGTGATCAGAGACGTGTTTCAGGTTGTTTTCAAAGTACTTCAAAGAGATTCCCACACATAAATCATCATACAATTGGTTGATATGTTAGAACTTGAGATGCTTGTCACCACATGGCCACATGTTTGTAAGTAAATGGGCATTCGCCTCCAATGATTAAAATCACAATCAAAACACGAACACGATATCTAGGGTACAAGAGGATTATTCTTTCAACATTAATTTGATACATATTCTCGAATACCGAGATACTTACGAGGCTTGTCCGCTGATTTTGGCTTTGTAGGTGCCATTTTTACAAAACTTTCGACTCAAAGGAAGTTGAAGTTACAATTTACAATGACAAATGACAGAATGACGCACAAACGGAAAAGAGGCACTTTTTCTTCATGAACAATATGTTGAGAACGGTTATTCCCGGGTTATTTCTAAGAAAGCAATGACGTCACCAACATTTTTCATTTCATGCATAGAAAGTGGATCTCCTTCCACTATTATGATTCCATGGAAAGAAGTGAGAACTGTTAGATGCGCTTTTTTGTCCAAGTGTTCTAAAAGAGTTCATGCTGGAACGATGGAACAATGAAATATACTTATTCTTAAAATATACACATTGATGGAAAACGGATTTTGTTGTGTGCTTGTGTGTCAGTCTGTGATGTATCTTTAGAATCAGAGGAGACTGATACGATTTCGTATGGATTTAATTGATCAACAATAACTCCATCTTCTCAAATCTCTTTTGAATCCTAGTTCATTCCTGAGTTATTCGTGCAACTTCCATTGGCGACACTGCCAGACACTCCTTTGAGTAATTTGTTCTTTTGTACTTGATCATTCTTTTGAAAAGTGCATTCCACACATGTGTAGTTTATCTGTGTGATTTACAATCGGATTCAAGAATGAATAAAATCGCGATAAATGAATCGAAATAATACATGTGTGAATATGTGTATATCAGTCTCCTCTGAACCGCTAGATTCTCGCCGAGCGACTTGAAAGTGTGCATCTCATCACAAAAGTTTGATGGATTTTCATCAACATTCCAGCGGAATTTCGTAACAGTTCGATGGTTTCTCTGAATCATGCGTATGACAAAACGTTGAAATAAAAAACGAACCCATATTCAATTTTATTTCACAACGACACATCGTCGGATATCCATTGTGCACCATTACCAACCCTGGAGAAGAAACATTGAAACACAACCTCACTTATCTGATTTGTTTACCAGGAAATCAGAGGATTGAAATAGTGTTTCACAATTTGTTGGCATACGAATCTTATTTTTGGGCTATTCATTAATTCAAGCATGCCATCACATTGTTCTGTTGTACAATGCACAAAAAATGCAGCGAGAGACGAAATAATATGATTTTTCAAGTAAATAGTGACCTAGTTCTCATGAATTTCATTATGAAATTGTGTCATTCTTCATTAGAATTCCTTTTATTACTTCTGCAATAGAACCTTATACTGCTAATAGAGTGAAAATGTATTCAACACACAAGTTCATATTTCCTAAGCATGTCATGCCAGTCCTCCCATTTGATTGCATAAACCAATCTTCTGGCTTGCTTCTAGATACTCAACGAATATTTTATTACTCCCAATCACAAGGTATACCTACCTGAAAAATCAGATTCCTTTGTCTCCCGCTGCAGTTTTCGTGCATAGTACAACAGCACAATGAAATGGTAATGAGGGCATGCTTGAATTGATGAATAGCCAGAAATCACTACTCGTATGCCAAAATAATTGTGAAAAACTATTGCAATCCTTTGTAAACGAATAAGAAAAGTGATGTCATGTTTCAATGTTCTACCTCCAAGGTCGGTCATCTGACAGATTTTGCATGCAACCGTTCTTGAATGTAGAACATTCGTACAAATCGTGTAATTTTTGAGCATTATTTTGGAAAGTGCATTTCACATCAGTGTAGTTCATTTAGATCAATGATCTAAGGTAGTTCATCTCCACCTGGTCTTGGGCAGGTGTGAATTAAACTCGAACTCAAGGATAAATAACATAGCGATTAATGACTTTGCATATATGTGTGATTATATTTATAATAGATACTGGAAAACCAATTACATCAAATACCGCATTTAGAAATTCAAATTACACTTCTCCTCTTTTTTTCAAATTCACTCCGTTCGTTTGAAATTCGTTGGTCTAGCTGCATGAAATATCAGCTGATTCATAGTGTAGTGCAATCTACACGATACTAAAGAGCAGACGGAATAACCTTTTTTTCGATGGAATAAAAAACTCCCCACACGATTTGTGCGTTTCTCATTCCTACATTTTGTCATGCGAATGAATCAAGAAGACCATCGAATGTTTCAATATCCAGGTCACTAGCTGAGCCGCTCCTCATTAAAATCTTAACGCGAAAGAGCTGATCAGGTGTGCAAAGGTACTGTACCGAGCTGCCCGATTACGTTGCTGGAAAGCGGCTCATTGTCACCTCGAAAGTTGATAGATAAATGCGCAGATTTTGTCAAAGTCTTGTTGGTATTCAGACCTTGGCACAACTTCCATCAGGGCCATAATGCAACACCACCGCCTGCGACGGCTTCCGTCGCGATCGACCTTTCTTATTTGTTTTTCGTAATCCCCCACTATTATTTTGGTATAACGTGTTTCAAATGACAATTGGGAAGTTAATGTTAACAGTCTTCGTTGGTTGAGATTGTTCAACGGCAGGCGGTCGTTATTATATTATTGTGATATTATTAAGCTGTTCCATGAAAACACGATGTTGGGATTCTTCTGTAGAATTTCGAGGTACGTGGTTTCTACTTTCCTCGGAATCAAGATGTGAAATATCAGGGGATTACGAAAAGTCTTGACACACGGCCGATACGCAAAGAACGGATTCGGTTATTATAATACAATATTCAATCTCATCCGTATTTCGAGGAAGACCACAGCAGGACTTTTCAGGAGCTGTTGCTGGCTGTTAGTGGTACACACGCGCCGCATTCTTAGACCAATGAATACGATTCTGGATATGGCCACGGCAGTGAGATCTCTGATTCCCTGTTTCCTTCCCACTGACCTTCAACACCAGATCAGCACCAGATAACAGTAGGGACACCTTTTTGTAGGCATCATTATCATTCTTTTGAAGGAATCAAATATCTGATGTCACTTCTGTCAGTCTGATTCTGTGTTGATCTCAAAAAATTGCAAATTTAGTGGTTGTTTAGTGAAATACGTAACCGCGAAGTCGAATGGAAGATAAAAGGACTTGCAGTTCTTTTTCGGAGACAGTATTATTGACTCATTTTTCGAAACTATAGCACAACAAAAGCCATCAAAAGTGTATATATAATATGTAATATATATCGGGGAAGAAAGTACTCACTTTTTTCCCACGGGAAAGAAGAAATTCATGAATTATTCTGAACTGGCATATTTCACTAGAACTGAACTGAATCAAATATTATGTGTTCCTCCGATAGAATAGGCGTTTTTTATTCACATATCCTGTTGAACTGAGTTGAAGGGATTAGGTGGTGGCAGACAGCTACGTCATTATGACGTCAACATCAACTGTTTCCAACGATCCTATTTCTTTCACATATTTCAGGTGTCTCTCGAGGTTAGAGTTTTGAAAACCAAATCATAAATCATAAATATTCCTGATCTTTGACACAACACTTTCGACACCAACCAAACATAACCAACGATTGAGTTGGTGAAGCTGGGGCAGATAGGGGAGGTTAAACCAAACGGAAATGACGTCATGGGAAAACACATTGAAATGGGATTATCAACTTCCAAAAGAAAAACAAAAGACTCAAAGTCAGTCGACTGACTTTGAGTCTTTTGTTTTTCTTTTGAAATTTTATTGGACCACTTTGAGATATGGATGATTTTCACGATTTATTATCAACTTCAACCGTGTCGGTTGATGTGAATGAAAAACGCCTAATTTGATTAGTTAAAATGCATGTTGACTGATTCCGTTCAGTCCAAGTCATATATATGTCAGTTTCTGAAAGAGAGAATATTCATTATTCGAGATTTTTTGGGATTTTCTCTCCCCGATTCTATATAATGAGAATCTGAATATTATTTCAATATACGTGTAGTAAGGACAAATCAGATGATTCTCCCCAAAACGGCACTGCGTTCAAAGCATATTTTCCTATCAGAGAGCCTGAAAGAAAAATTCACTAGCTTGTCGGTGACAATTTGTATTGAAAGTAGTTTGGAGAGGAGGAAAAAAGGTATATAATGGGTATATAGAAAAAAATATCAGTTTCCTACTCAGCTTTAGACGTTTCAAGAACGAATCTACTCCCGCTTTCAACATAAAAAATGGATTCTTTGTATCGCAACTTCGTATTTGTCCTGACACTTCTCAGTGACAATGGGCGTGTACACCTTAGTAGAACTTTTAACTCAAACCAGGTTTATAATGATCCTTTTATACATAAATAATGATTGACGACATAATTCGATCGAAAAATTAACTGAAATGTTTTATTTTTGGACATAAATAATAGTAACTTCTGAAAACGGACCCTCTTATGACGTAAAAACCTCATCTCGCCATAGTTAAAAGAAAATACCAAACGCTGGACGGAGACTGAGCAGGCAACTGATATATTAATTCTTGCAACTGTGATCTCGCGCTCATTCACTCTGTCAGTAATCATGTATCATTCATCTCTGTCCGCTGGAATAGTCTCGTTTCAGTATTAGGGTTTTGACGTCACATCATCGCCTCGTTTTCAGAGGTCCGAAAAATCGGAGACTTCAATAATTTTTTATAAAACGTAGGGAGCTCACAGCAAGAAACGGTTTGCGGTGGTGAGCTAGAGTTTGGGTGACTTCTATCGAATTATGAAATAAACATGTTTTGTGATATAAGCCCATTGGCGACGTTGGCAATCAAATGAGTTACAGGATGTTATAATCAATTAATCTTGAATTTACCATTTTCATTTTCAGATTTCAATAGTGAATATCATGTTCTAACTATATCAACTGAACAGGAAGCAATACTGTTGTCTCGGTTCAGAAGGATATGCAAGAAAATTCCTCGATTTTTCTCTTCTGGTTGTTATCATATTACTCGCGATAAAAACAAGGTTGGATAAAAAAGCGAACGCCACCTATCGGAGTACTTGAAAGCTTTCAATCGGAATTCAAGTAGTTGAAGTTTATGCAAAGTCAGTTGAACAGGTCATCAAAGGAATGTCGAGCCGCGCTGCCGCATTTTTCGAACTTCCAAAGGGACTGACGGCTTGCGGTGATGTGTTTTTCTTTGCATAAACGATAC